CAATAAAAGATGGGCATGCATGAGAAGTAGTCTCACAACAAAAGATACTTGAGTTAAAGTTCAGCAACTTCAATAGAAGAGAGCATCTGCCAGACTTCAGAAGAAAGTCAGAATGTCTCTTGAACCTTCTGGTGATTTACTTCCCACTTCGTGTTCTAATTAACAGAACTAGAACAAATGTGAATATTGTACATATGACTCAGTCATCTAAAAATGTCCACTCAGTAATGATTTTCAAAATCTGTTAATCTGCCACTTTTCGCAGAGACTAAAGCAAGACCATGAAGCAAATCTGAAATCTCTCCAAACATGGTTATCAAAATGAGGATACATATATCAAATAACCCTCCTAGAGCCAAGATATTTTAACATGTAAATAACAAATAACAAGATTTATATAGCAGGCAATGTATTTTTAACAAACAGAAGACCTACAACAAAGGCTTCACCTAACACCTAAGTACATTTTTTATTGTCACTGCTGTTTAAAAAGCAATTATTTCACTTCCACAGGCAGGAGAAAGCAGAGCTAGAAGAAGAACAGATTGCCTAAGGTTAAACAGAATGTGTGGCAACAGAAAAAAAGAAAAGAAAGCAAAAAAACCTAACCCACCTCTCAAGACCTTCTCAGGCATTTCAAGTCATTACCTTCCCAAAGCTTACTCAGCAGCACCATTTAAAAGTATTTATTAACTCCTACAAAAAGTATTTAATCTTACTCATGTATCAGCTCCAAGCTAGGAATCCTACTGAAAGTTGTGAAACAAAAACTTAGAATGTTTAAGTTTTAACATATAAATTACCAGCTCAAAGGAAGAAAAACTCACCAGCTCACTAGCCCTCCTTCAAGAAATGACGGTAACAAATGACAAAGAGCTACAGGTCAGCAGGCTTACTGGCAAAACTGGCCAAGAGAAGAAGAGTTGAAACAGAACTAATGTACCTTACACAGAATTCAATTACAGTGCTCCAAGACATTAATGCAGCCTCAAGATTCTTGTCCCAGGTCAGCTGTGTGCCAACACTTACATCTTAAAGATACACAGGGAAAAATCCTTCTAAAAGCACAACTACAGGAACACATACGCATTCCTCCCCCTGAAAAGGAATCATGAGTAAATAAGCAAGTGACCAGCGCTCTACACTCATCGGTAACTGCTGAAATATCACAACAGTTTAGTATTTAAAACAAATGCTGTCAGGGGAGAAAGAACAAGCAGCCAAATACTGAAAGAACCAGCATGTCTTTTGCCTGAATTTAGACAGTCTGTCACAAAGTAAATTGCCTTCGCATCCATCTTCCCCCTGCTCTTTTCCTGGGTGAGAATTCCTTCCATATACATCCTCTGAATGGCTAAGCTAATTTATCACAGCTGTCTTGCCTGCCTCCTAAAACCTGAAGTTCACCATCAGACAGCACCCTGTCCACACCTGTGCTTTCTAAGAATTCTCAATTGCGTTTTCCCAGATGGGACTATTTTCTCCAAAACCGTTCTGTACTCTGAGCTCCTTCAGGGAGTAGCAACAACGAAGGCACAAGAGTTTTGTTAGACCTGACACCAGACATTCCCAATGCTGTGGAATTGCCCAGGGCCAAATGCAGTGACCAGAGAGAAGAATATCAAGCTGCACTTGGATTGCTTAGCATGCTTGATGTCAGATGGGAACTTATTTCCAGTTGTGAGTTCTGGGTGGGAAACAAAGCTGCTTTACCAGAATCTAGGTCTATTTACTACAGAACAAAAAGTTTAAAAAAATGCTTATTCAGTTCAATTCCCTCTTCCAGCAAGACATCTTATATGCCATTTTTCTTCAGTAGAAGACGAGCAACTGAGCCGAAAACATCAGATGAAGAATAAGAATGAAAAATTGTCACCATACCTAGAGGGCTGCAAATGAACTACTCTGGGACAAGTAAGGAGTATCAGCCTCTCACTGAAAGAACAAAGCCACCTTGGAGCCTCAAAATAATTACAATATGGAGATTCCCCCCTCCCCCCCGAGCCACTATGGTAGTTTATTAGATACAGGCCACATTTACAATTTCATTTGAAATGCAGCTCAGCAGTCCCAAAAGAGACTCAAAGTAGGATAGTCAAGAACAAGTCACAGTCCTTCAGAGGACTGTAAATTATTTTTAAACATACATATTTTGACTTATTCCATGCTACCAGGTATTTCTCACATTATCAGACTCAGAGGAAAATAGTCACAACTACTAAAGACTGACTTGTCAGTTGCAATATTTACTTAAAACCTTTGTCTTTGCCTCCAGGATTTCAGCAGAGTACAGTATTTGCATGAATGTGGAAGTGCAAATGGCATAGAGCCATTTAGGAGTTGCACTGCTCCCACCTAAATACGTTAGTGATTAAAAGAGGTCAACAGATCGCTACAAAATAGCTTTGTACTAATTACACAAAATTAAAAAAAAAAAAGAGGAAGTAAACAAAATTCTAAAAAAAAAATAATATATATACTCCACATCTCGTGAGATAAATTTCTTAGTATTGAAGTGTTTCACATCACCCCTTCATACTCACATTTTTAAAGGACAAAGACAGCTCTTTACCCAGATGTGCCATCTCTCAGATGTTGGAGGGCCCCTGATAATTCCTCACAACCATATCCTGCTGTACCCTTCCATGACACGTCCAACCCTAATAACGAGTGGTCAAAGTTTCCTCTTTATGTGCACTAATGCCTCAGCTGCCAATCTTTATGCCTTAGTGTAATGACTCAAAGTTAAATGAAGCTTCAACCTCCTCTGTCAATCAAACTGACATTCCAAAAAGATCCTCAGCCTGTTCCAAAATGCTGCTAAAATATCTTGCAGTCATCTCTGCATGCCCACGTGTTACAGTATATAGAAAGTGCCCCCTCCCTCCTAAGGAATACTATAAGATTAAGAAGAGTTTAAAAGAGTCAAGAAAGATCATAGGATTACAGATCGGTTAAGCTTGCTACAGCAGGAAGAACTTACTTGATACAGTCCTCTCATTACTTTCTATAACATTTTAGATAATTATGGACTTGATAAAAATCAGCCCGGCATCTGCTTCCTGTAAAAGAACACTGTGCTTCTCTAAGCAGTTTTCTTTATTTTGTTTTTTTAAAATTAGTTCAGAAAGATAAAGGTGGCTTAAAAGATAAAGTTATTTGGAATTTCACCACCAAAAACAACGACGGAACAAAGTTTAAAGAAAGCAACAAAATAATTAAAGCCTGCACTTTAAAGGTCTTGGCTTCTAATCCCAAACAAGAAATACACGGCATTTCCCAAAGGGAGAAATATGTCTTGAAATCCAGGAAACACAAAATTAGGCTGAAGCTCAGATCTTCAGAATTGTTAAAGTTTTTGTTGTGTTATTTAAGTTACAGTGAAGAACTACTTTTCAGTAGAGAAGGTACCTATACAAAAACCTAGAGGCCCACCTAAAGCTAGTTCTACTATGTGAACACGCTAATAGGGAAAACATCAGAATGAGAAAGAAGCCCTTTCATTGCGCCCTTAACCAAGGGGCATTGATGATTTTGCGAAATAGGGCAATATAGACCAGCTGGGGTAAGTTTAGGATGGGTGTCTAAGTATTTAACCACTTGAGGTTAGAGTGTAAGAGTTTACTTACTAGTTCACACGTCCCGGCAGTTTAGTCATTTTGTTAGGAATGCCAGCACAGAGCGCAATTCTTTTCTTTCTTCTGCTCTTACATGGTGCTGGGAAAATTAGATGAAGATTCTCCATAGCTAGGTCTTATTCATGCATTTCTGCGTGCTCTGTCAGAGATCAAAAGCCAGATACGCAGAAATGGCAAGTGTTCACATCTCCACCTAAAACAAACTTAATCATTTAAAATATATAAAGCACTATAACCCTATCACACACTTGAAAATTCTCAAGTTTCTAAGCTGAGAATACAGAAATACCGGATTCTGCAGTTTTTCTTTTCTCTTTCATAGTATAAACACTATGGAAAATTTCATAGAGGCATTGAAAATATGAACGTGCTTTACAAGTAGTAATTCAGAAAAAAATAAATGAAGCTTAGGGAGACTGAAGTCTACCTTCCTGATGAACAATGAAAAGACCTTTTAGGAAAAAAAAGCAAACGAAAACTTAATTACACCTCGCACTTATGGGCAGACTAGAGTTCTACGGGTAGGTTCAATTTTGTTTCTTCCCCAGTTTCATCATGCTCCATAATTTACAGAGCACTTTTTATTTTTAAATGCTGTTTTGGACGTTATTTAATTTCTTTTTACTATTTTAAGTAGAATTCAATAGTACCCCAGGGATTTTGCTGCTTACAGTGGTTTAGAAGCAAAAATAACAACAAAAAAATATGAAGTATAGAAAACCATGGCTGCTTTTATAATGTTAGGGAACTGAACTACACAACAGCAGATTAAGCACCCCTTGGAGGAGTACAAAGTGGTGAATTCTGATGAAAGATCTCAATACATCACAGAGCTCAGTGGTATACAAATACTGTATTTTTATTTTTTGACCGCACAAATACGCAGAAGCCTTATTCTCCCCCAGTCTACCTTCTGCTCTACTTAGTGCCATGAGCCCAACCAAAAAAGACAAGTCACGAAAACAAGCTGTGTGCAATCAAATCTGTGTGCACTGGAGCACGAGTTAAAGGCAGAAGTACAGCAATGTTGGTGTGCTAACTAATACAGCTGTAAAGCTCATCAAGAAATGAATAAATCAAAGCTAATTTCTAGAACACTTTGTATATAGTAGTGTTTCTACACTGTTTCAAGTTTGATCTTCGATTATGCCTACTATGTGCTCTACGATTTAGATTCTACTGTTTTCCCAGATAGGACAATGAGATTAGTTGGTCTTGAGCATACAGTTTTGAAGCAGCAGGCCTTCGTTCCAGACAGTCTAGCTGCACCTTTCTTTGCACGGCTTCAATTTTCCTAGAATTTTCTGCTGAAGTACATCAGCACTTTGTCCAGGCACTGAACTAAAAAGAGAGATAGGTTACCTGTTTTGGCAGTGATGAGTTGCAAAACCAATGGTCGTCTTGTTACAATTCCAGAACCTCGTGGAAGAAAATCCCTGGAAACATTAAAAAAAAAAAAAAATTGTTACTGCCCCAAAAGCGCTGTCCAGTTACAGAAGATACTGGGCTAATTTGGAACCTCCTCTATACCTTCAGCTGCAATGAAAATGGAAAGTTGGTGGGGACAGATTTACATCAAACACTCATATAAAGTAGGACTGCTAATTTTGGTTTGAGATAGCCGTAGGTCATTAGACAAATACGTATTAAAACTAAATTACTGTCTCAAGGCATTACTTATTCTCTTTCTTCATGACCATCATATATAACATTTCAAAATTCATCTTGCATAGTAGGAGGACCTGAAGCTATGCCCACATTTATCAGACTCTGTAAATAAACGTGTCCTCACCCTATACTTAATTTGAAGAGGATACGGGCATATGAATACACGCACTCTCTCACACCACACCAAAGCTCTGGCCAAACCAAATTGCCAACACTCTGCACCTACTCTTTCACACAACTCAACTTCTGCGAGTTCAGATAGCCAGTTGACTCTTCCAGCAACACATCTGCCCAGAAGCTTTTGAGTGAAAGCTGAACCCTAGAAGTGCTCTGGAACAGCAGGAGGGAGTGTCCTTGGACCAGAAAGCAAGCAATGAAGCAAAGACAGCAACTCTGTCATATCATTATGCACCCCCATGATCCCTTCCATGCCTCCAAAGACAGGGAGGCTCCCTATGCAACTGAAACCCTAGAAAAAACATTGAACCAATCGTTAGTTGCAAAACCAATGATCAGAAACCCAAAGCAAAATAACAGACTTTTCTTTCCAGGGTCTTCTCCAGTTTCCATACCTATCAAACTCTTACAAACTTTGAGATGAGGTTCAGTGAGAGGCTTTGAAGAGTGCTCCCTCAAATAAGCGTATTCAGAGGAATAAAATTCAGATGTAAACAGACCGTTTCACAATCAGCTTAAGCTCATCAAAATCTCCTATTTTTCACCGCCTTAGCAGGGATGCTGAATCACCTTCTTGCCTGCCTTAGCCGCATTGCTAACACCTCTCCAGCTCAGGTGAAAAGCAGTGCAGTGCAGCAAATGGTTACGGCACAAATTTTCAGTCAAATCACAGAGCTGATCTGGGTGACCGTATTGTCACCTGTGCTAGTGCCAGTACAAAGGGTGAGCAGGAAT